CTGAATATAATAGATCATTTTTTCGTCCTGAATCTCACTCAATCACTACTAAACCAATTATTCGCTTTAGTGTTCTCATAATTTCACGACTTTTCATAATGGCAAACATATAAAACAACTCAATATAGTCACTGATGCAATGCAGTAGCAGTAGGCCGAGGCAACCAATGTTTCCTTTTGAATGTCGACAGTGTAACTTGCTTTACTGCTTTAGAAAAATATTGACACTCGACAGTATCTGTTGCAGGGACATTATCTCGCACTTTAGAAGAGAGAACTTGATTGATTTTTTAGTCCTTTGAACCGTATGGATACAGAGCACGACAACAACAAAAAAAATGAAAGAGCACAACAGGCGTTGGAATGTTTCCCTTAATTTTGTTCTGCAGTATACAGAACTCAGTTGACCCCGCTACTTTCTTCTAGTGTAAAGCCGCTTTCTGTTGGACAAAGGTTGGTTAAGATATAATGCGAGCACCAACGCGGCAGACAGTACGTACGTCGTCATCAAAAATTTTCGGACTAAACCATTTTATAAGCCATACACAATAAATTGGAAGTGCCATTTAATCCGATCACGAAAATCTGTGTTAATTTAAAATCATGCAGTTGCTTCGATAACTTGCAGCTTACCTTCCACTGGTATTCCACTGGTGACAGGCGTAACGGGCAGTGATGTCGGTGAGGAAACAAGAAGTATGAGAATAATTTACAAAATTCCAGTAAAGAAAAAACAGTCAGTTCTATTGCTGTTAAATGATACACTTAGTGACTTCATGAATAAAGAAATTTAAAAAAATCTTAAACACTGGGACGGACTTGCTGCTTAACTACGTTAACTTTACAAAGATCTTATCCCTACATTCCATATTACGGATAAAATTCTCTTAGCATGACAGTATAACTAGACGTCTGCATTTTACAAGAAAATTGATAACATCGACAACTGAAAATCCAACCAGGAAATAAGTGAAAAAATACGTAAAAAGAAGGTAGATCCGAATCTCTGAAATCGCAGTACACCAGAAGTTGTACTCTCAAACCGGCTAGCGACAACAGCTAGATAAAGTCTTTTCCGTCTAGTATAGACGACGAGAAGATAAGAATAGTAAGGAAGGAAGATGGGCTGCTAAAGCGCACAATAATTTAAGTATACGTGGAAACCATACGTGACACGATATCTAATACAATTGGAGCGTATGAGTCCTCTGAGCAAAAAAAGAAAGCCAGTAGCCCCGCGCTTTCCTCTGATCTTTACAATTGTTAAAAATGTATTCTGCTTTCATTATGTTCTTCAACTGCCCAAAGGGAATGAGTAATGGTTAAAGTCCATCGTCAACTGTGGGTTGGTACTAAGCAAATAAGATCAAACCTCAACGCTCTGAGAGACACTGCTGACGACAGTCCAGCCAATTTAAATTCCATCGAAATCAGATGGGTGAGGATTTTTCTGCGGTAGCATAAGCTCAGATTGAAGAATTGAAAAAATTCGTAAAAAGGCAGAGGGACACCGAGGTCTTGACAATCGCTGTACAATCAAAGTTGCAGCTTTTGCCGAAAGTATGCAAAAAAATATTCCGGTAAAATACTTTAGTTACTCAACAACAGTATTGTTGTTCTGAGCCACTTTTACTTCAAAGTTCCTGAAAAAAGATTGAAAAGGAGACACTTAAGGAGAGAGGCTGCAGTTTGATGATCGATGAAAAAACTGCGTGTTTTGTCGTTATTTAAAGTGTTTGCAATTAGGAATCTACTTAACGCTGCACTCTTTTTCGTTATCGTTCCGGGTTGTATAGAATCTTTTATTGCAGGTAGAAAGTTGTTTGAAATTTCAAGACGACTTATTTATATAATTTTAGAATGATTAAAAATTTTTGCGTTCTAAACGGTCATTGAAAATAAACGAAAACAATAAAAATGTCAAAGTTATAAGATTATTTTCATTCTTTGTCTATTTTTCTTCTTTTGAACTAGTTCTCATTCATCTTTTAGATAACCTTTGTCGCCTACGTGCTGGGCTGGCTACTACTTAGAACGCTCTTGCAGTATTCACCAGGCAGAACGTCGCACTTTAGCAGCCTAAACTTAAAATTAAAGAAAACAAAGGCTCATTCACAAAGGTTTAAAAGTGTGAACCTTGCAATCAGTTCAAAAAATGCAGTGCAAACTGCGAATTGCTGAAATTTTCTATTTTCTTTTCTGGCCTTATTTCCTCATGCAGATAACGGTGCACCAAAACCCGTACCATCAAAACTTTCCAACTGAATCTTCTTCAAAAAATTAATTTAGACGGGATCCACATCTTCAATTCCCGCAAGTTAGAGTGCTACAGCCTACTCTGCTTTGGGCGGATATCGGAGACATTGGAATTAATAAAAAATACCCAGCTTGTCACAATGCACATCACATTCATTCCGAAAACTTCCCGTTAAGCCAGAAGTGACTTTCACCATCCATAACCACCTTAGTTCAAATTCTTCACTGAAAAATTGTTGAGTTTTTCGAACATATCGGTCAACTAACCATAATAATACTCTAATTCTTAGGACCCGATAACTTAAGTCGTACCCGTGAACCTGACAAAATCTTTTTCTTTTCTTAAAGTCACCAGCTCACTGACCATCCACTTCAAAGCTAACCCGTACAGCAACATGCTATGCAAAAACGACAGCAGCTACTTGCGCTAGCCGAACCCTAAACACCGGTAACAGCTTCTACAAACAATTCAAAACAGCATCGCCGCCTTCCAGATCCATGAGATACATAATATCCCACGATTTCAAATTTAGTACTTAAATCTTCAATAAACAAAAAGAAGCCCGACTTCAAGAATAGCACCCCTGTCTGTACAGCCACGTGCGACCCTGAAGCATTCTACTACGACAAACCAGATGGTTTTATTAATACATTGGGCCCTTTGCTTCAAATTGCGGAGGTTCTGAAAAGCTCTCTCAAAAAATATAGTCATTACAAATAAAACTTTAAAAAGTATTTTAAAAACAATTCTGAATAAAATATAGGCACAATACATAGTTTGATGGCAAATATGCAAAGAATTCTACTTATGACCCGTACTTTTTTCTTAATGATTACTACATCTATACATGAGAACAAACAAGATAGGAGAAATGAGATAATAACTTGCTCAATAAAAAAATTAATAAATAGATGAATGAAAGACATAATAATCAGGAAAAATCGTGGAACAGAGGAACGCGCTATCAATCGTTATTAATCATTAAATGCAAATAAACTCTCTTTTTACTCTGTTCCGTCTGCCACAACTTTCAGTAAGTGACCTAGTCGAATAAACAATTCAAGTAATTCTTCAAATACCTTGACAATTTTCCGAGATTGCGATTGAAATAATCAATTAGAAAATCTAACAACAACTAATCAAAAAAAGTAACAATACGCTTCTGAGCATCTTGAAGAATAAATTACAAGAGCAAAACGAAAATATACAGTAACTAGAGCTCTCACTAAAGTGTGCTAAGGTCGTCCTCAATTTTGGGTCTCTTTGCGCTTATAAACTGATCGTCGTCTTCATCACTGTCAGATAATGCCAAATCAGCGTTCAGCTGGCCTTCACTATGCATTTGAGAGTTCAGAAGATCACCTTCAGCATCATAGCCACTCATGCTCGTGTCATTTGTAGTTTCAAAATTTCTACCTGGAATAGGAACACAAACGGCTTTCTTAAAACCACTGACAAATACGAAAACAAAAGGAAAAATCGTTTTTTAGCAAAGCTAAGAATAAGCGTGAAAATAAAAAACAGACTCAGTTCATTATCTTCGTCGTCGATGTCTTCATCGCCACTAAGTGCTAAGTCAGTTTGCAGATGGCCAATCGTATCGTCATCATCTTCCTCTAAAAAGTGGCAAACTAACCTCGTTTCTTTCAGACGGCAGTACAGTATAACGCAAGAAATCAAAAAAATTGACCTGCTGTTTCATCCTTTACAACTGTAGTATGAGAACCAGGTGACAACATCTCAGGCTCTTCTAAACAAGCGCTACTAGCTGCAACTGAATCAGCATCTGTACGGTCATTTAAAGTAGCTTGAATATTTGTTTCTAGCTCCTCCAATTGCTTTTTACGCAGCTGTAATCATTTCATTGTAGATTTTTCTTAATTTAGAGGAAAATAAGGTTTAAAAAGTTTGCATCACAAACCTCAAGAAGATGATCAACTAAATCGCAGATTTCACCAGCTTTAGCAGTTAAGGGTGAAGAAATACCATTAAAAATACCGCAGTTGATTTTAATCTAAAATGATACTTTTAAAGAGCCAATTCACCAAAACGCAAAGTGAAAATTCATTTCAAAAATCACACATAGCAGCAACCTGCTCAATGTCTCTTCTAAAAGCTGCGACAGTTGTATATTTGTGCTCTTTGATATTCTGTTCCATTGTTCCTAAATCCATAGGTCTGCTAACCTTTTCGTAATAGTTTAGCACCTAAATAAAAAAGAATAAAAACCTAAATAAGCCCAAATATATATCACCGCTAATAAAACCAAATAACTGTTTTTTTTAGTTAAATACAATAAATAAAAATTAAAACAGAGATACTGAAATGTTACGTTCAACATAACAGCGATTATAGAAAGCAAAATACATTCAAAAAAAAGCAGCACTACATGTAACCAAAAAATAAAATACCCTTTTCCCATCAACTTTCGTATGAAAAATGGCACTCTTTGGGACATTTTTACATTCCTGGATTATTTCATTTAGAATGAATGAGAACCCGATAATATCATTGTCATCCAACAAGGGGTTTATAGCCTTCTCAAGCGACATAAGTTTCTGCTCCTTGTCAATTAACCTTAGTGAAACCACTTCAAACACCTAAAAGTTTTCTAGTGCATTTTCCGTAGTAAAAAATTATGTAACTGCATTCCATTTTGATAGATGAAAGCTAGCTGGCGGGCATACCTTTCTAGCAGCTTCTGTAATAACGTGATTGTCTCCGTTGTAAAGCCGCGAATTATCTAACATTTGCTTAATGTCAGCAAGAAATTCCTTCCGCAACTCATATTTATTTTCAGAAATCTTCTTCTTGATTTGTTGTAAGTCCATTGGTTGTTTGATATATTTGTAATAATCGGGAACCTGCAAGAGTATGTAGGTCATGAAAACCGACAAAAAAGTGAGAAAAGATAATCTCAGATAGAGAAGATAATACTGTTAATTATATTTACTCTGAAAATCACCTTCTTTGCACTAACAGGGAACATCAAGTGTTCAGTACCGGGTATATTTCTTACATCGTTATAAATTTCGTTCAACTGTGTTGACATTGTAACCTGGAACAAAAATACTACGACACATGCTGCAGGAGGAATTCTCAAAAAAGCAAAAAGATTTAAATCAGCCTATTAGATACTCCACAGGCTATAAAAATAAGTATATCTAACAAAGGAGAATGCAGACTAACATAGCAACGGCGTAGAAAGCTTTTTCGCAATAAATAACTGCTCAACTAGCTTAATTGAAAAAAAAACAATAAAAGAAAAAAACAATGTTGCAAGCCTACTCTTGGGTCGGCCCTTCGCCTGTGTACAGTTTTTTGAGGCCCGTAGAGGTAATCATCCATATCAACAGTGGACCTCCTGCGATTGCCAATATTCGAAACTGTTGAGTGTTTTTTACTTGCTAAAATGTTATTTTTCAATATTTATTTGTTAATTCCTTCAAAACATGATGGGATAAGATGTAGCGTAAAAATAACCAAGATAAATAACAGCTTAAAAACACCTGAATTTGAGTTTTCTTCAATAACTAAATTGTAAATCTTAAATAGAAATTAACTACTCAACAATTCCTTCTAAAGCTCCTGAATACAAGCCCAAGTAACTGATCTTTTTTCAAGATAAAAGCCACTTAATATACTACCGCTATATATCTAGAAAAATTACCAGTAGAACTTTTTTTGGAAGGTTTAGTCGATGTGCTAGTTTTAGGAGTACACGGTTGTTCTTCAGGAAGAGGGACTTTATCACTCAGATGGCTCTCCTCATCACCCTCAAACTGTGTCGTTGCTTCATCCGCTTCTCCAGTTGTTGTTGATGTCGCGGCTGCAGCAGTTGATGTCGATGCTGCAGAAGAATTGCTGTCCTCTTCTCTTTTCTTATCACCACTAATAAGCTCTCGAGGAATATGTAACCTAATTCACTTATTTTTTAAAAAATAATTACTTAGTAGTTTTTAAATTCAAACTTTAGTACGGAACAAGACTCCAAATGAGATAATTAGAAACAGAAAAAATAAACTAAGATCTCGAGTACCTTAAAGCATTTTTCTTTAGCATCTCTGAATGATGGTAAATTTTTTTTGAAATTTTCAGTTTTGTTCCCTCAACAGACATCAGTTCTCCTGTTGGTACAGCCATTTTTTCCAACTGTTCATCAGTCAATGCAACCTGAAGATGAAAAACCTTTTCTGATTATAAGACCGCCTATTAAAGTTAACCAAATGTCATTTTTTAAAAAAAGAGCTAAATAATAATCCATACCGGATGTATATCACCAACTGTCTTTGTCTGACTTTTGCCAGAATCTTTTCCATACAAAGGACAATTTTTGTTAGTTTTCATATGACCAGTCCCGTGACAGGCGCTACATCGCATTTTCAGCAAATTCGGTTTTATTACTGGCGGTTTCTTCTCCGCCGGTTTAGCCTACAAGTTACTATCAACTGAATTAATAAAAAACGAAAAGCACCAGGAATTCTAAATAAAAAAAAAAAAACTAATGGGCAGACTAATCCATCAGTAAGTGACATTTCTCACTAATGACTATAAACAGTTGCTAGTGGCTACAGACGATACGCTAACTTGTAGCAAAATTCCTATAGCACCACTACCACCGAACATTTTAAAACCAGGTTAGCAGAATTACCTTATTAATTGGTTGACCAATTTCAACCCCATGCAATTTTGCCTTAAGTTCATTCCGTCGTATTCTTCGCAATTGATCTTGTAAACGCCTTTTCTCCTTCCGCCGTTCCTAGAGAGAAAATATGATAAAGATTATTCTGCCAAAAGATTGCTAAAATACGTGATTCGTCTATAGCATAATGAATATCTGTTATTGAAAAAAGGCTAATGACAGCCAGTGAAGAAAAATCCTATACTTCCACAAAAATATTAGTTTAGGATAGCAATGAATAAAAAAATAATAGAGTATTTAGTATTTCACTAAATACAAAGCAGTCTTAAAGAAAAGCGAACCTTACTGCTTCAAACCCAAGGTCCTTTTCGAGTTATCATCGATCACTAATTTGGTCAATTCTTATTTCCACTTCTCTCCCTTACTAGCAGCAAAAACATTACTCAGTGTCAAAGAGACTTGAAAAGTAATGGATTTCAATTCGCTGAACTTTGCAACCAACTAATTACAAAAATCATACGCCAGTATCGCAGAAAAAAACCAGCTAATTGCTTTTAAAAGCAATTACTGTCAAAAATCGACCTGGACGAGGTCCTTGAAATCTATCTTTTAACATAATTTATACATTATATCACACCAAATTAACCAAGAAGAGACCAACAAATTCCTAGCTCTTGAGCTTCTCACCGCTTTCAAGCAAAATGCTAAACTCACTTCCTTGTACTGTTCATCCATCTGTGCATACACCTGTATAAATGTATCATCTCTTGTGGTTCGAATACGTACATAGGCTTCGATTAGTTGCGGCCGTGTTATGACTTCGACACGAGTCTTCAAAATGGAAAAGTAAGCGGTAGATGAATAAACAAGATATCTTTCCAAAAAATTTAAATCTTAACAAGTATTAACAACTACTCGCAAAAATTTGCATACATGGAGTTCTACAACGTTCATATATATGCAAAATAAAGGTAAATAAACTCACCGACTCGGTACCATCTGGAGCGCGGAAAATCCTATAAATTTTTAATTTCCGAGGCCCCGTGTTAGTTACTGATGACGACTCTGCATTAGTTACAGATGGCTCTTTCTCTAGAATGACTCTTTGCCATATTTTAAAGGTATCTAACAGTGTTTTCCAATTGCTTTCATTTTATCATATGATAAAATTAGCAGTTCTGTAAATGAGTGGCCTTTAAAAACTAATCATAAGAATCCAATCAACTCACGCTGAGGTTCCTTCGGAGCTTCCTTTTCTGTTTTAGTAGCACTACTACTGGCTGCATTTTCCCCGTTTATCATTTTTTGCAAAGCTTTCCTTTCCTCCTCTTCCTGTTCGTATTCCAATTTCTTTCGTTCAGCAACTGAGATTCCCTTCTTCCCTACAAAGCAACAAATTTATAAATTATTGCACTGTAAGATCATGTTGCACCTACCAGATTACCAAATGAAGATCCTCGAAACTTCACTGCCTACCCAGCTACATAAAGATGCTCCTCTACTTCACAGTTTTTGGTCTCTGTGACGGCAGAAGTTCAGTCTTACTATAGCCATTAAGTCCCCTTCTATTACAAAAGCCCCCGTTCCTCTGTGACAGTGTGATAACGTTGTTGATATTTATTTTTGCATTATTGATTATTTTAAATAAAGTGCTTTTTTTATCACTTATCCTTTTATTGAATCAGTACCGTGCCTTCACAGTTCTCTAATAAAGAAAAAGACAAAACAGAAAAAAGTGAATTCATTTGAACCATATCTTCCCCAAAATGAAGCTAAATGTCACCTTTATTTGCAGCTAACATACTCTCCAATTTAGTGGCAAGTTCTTCATTATCCGAATCCTCTAAACTGCTCCCCTCATCTGTACTCAAAGCATCTGGATTTGCCAAAGTCCTAAAAAAGAATATACCTAAAATCATGCCATCAAATATTAAATATTAAATGTGATATTAAATGTAATATTAAAATA